TTGGCAAATTATTGAGGATGTCTTTACTGAAATTATAGTTAAGAGTAATATATTCTACCCTTATGTGATTTTTAGTTCGAGACAGAGTTCGGACAAAGATGGAAAGGGATATACTGGTAGAAGTAAATCATCCATTTATTGTCAAATTGCACTATGGTATGTAATATTTCTTTTATTTATGTAATTAGAGAATTAAGATTTTCTTTCAGACAGTACCATGACAGGAAATAAATAATTCAGACTTATTTAATATATTCAACTATGTAAAATTAATTTATCTGAAATAAGTATCAATATCCAACTTTTAATAATATTTCCTTCATTTGTCTATGTTGGTTAACTTGACTAAGGTAATAAGAGAATATCTTCTACTTATTTGTCTTATAGTACTGTAAGACTATAAGTACTTTCTGTACTCTATTAGCTACCCCCAGTAATCTTAGGCTATAAACTATTGTGGTAATTTATGTAAAACGTGCAGGTGTTTGTTCATAATGATTATATTAATCTTACTCCCCGGCTCTGTTCAAGAAGACCATGTAGTTATATTAGTCTATTTGAGTTACTTTTTTATACTTAGGGGGAGAGGAGTGCCAGTAAGAAGCAGTAGACACAATGGAAAGAACATGAGCTTTGGAGTCAGACATTTCTGAATTTGAATAGTAGCTCCATTGCTAATTGAATATGTGGATGAGATTATGGAGTATGGCTTCTCTGGGGAATAAATACTATCTGTCTTTAAATCACTCATATAATCTACTACATCACTTTCAATTTTCTAGATTTAAAAGAGTAGTGGCTATTGCTTTTATTCTTAGTGTAATTTTGACAAATAATGCATTAAAATATGTACCCAATTATCTCTATAAAAAAAACCCACAGGAAGTTTTCACCCATTATTCTTTCACTCCATGTTATCCTAATGGATAAAAGTAGTAATATGTAAAGACCTCTTTGAATCTCCATTATATCAGTCTGTAAACACATATTGTATATAAAATACTGTATTAAATTGAGTGGGATATAGAAGTGAAAAAATTTCTGACTTTGTGAAATTTATAACCTATAGGGAATACAGACATGCAAATAAATTAATTTTAGAAATCAAAATGGAATAAGTACCATGAGGGAGATATAATATGAGATCTCAAAAGTAGTAGCAAGTAATTCTGATGGGGAAGAGGGTATGGATGCTATAGGGAAATGCAAAAAGGGAGAAATTCTGGAAAGCTTATTAGAGGAGGTAGCTTCTTTGTTGAGCTTTATAGGATTAGTAGATTTTCAATAGGTGATAGAGAGCAAAGTTTCAGGAACTGTAGTACAACATGCCTCATAAATTAGGAAAAAGGTGGTGGTAGAAGTTTCTCTGTAAAGCCACATGCAAGGTTGATTATATTCTGGGAAAGGGTTTATAACTATTTCAATGCTGGATTAAATACTGGATTTAATTTTGACATACTGTTATCTAATAATCGACCATGTGAATAAATACTTAATTGCTTTATAGGGTTTAGTGATAAAATTCTGAACAAATATGCTAATTAAAAAATATACTAAGCTTTTTAAGCCTTTAAGATTGTTCTATTACTACATTCTAATTTCTACTCAGCCTTTCAGACAGAAGGGAAGCTGTATTTAATATTGGATTTTCTCAGGGGAGGAGACGTCTTCACAAGATTATCCAAAGAGGTGATTATCTATAAATTTTTACTGTATTTTACTGAAACAAAACTAAGAAAAATCATTTTTCTTCTTTTGCTAATTACATTTTTCCTATCGAAATTTTAAATGTTATTATTTTTTCATTGGGTAGTATTTAGTAATGTGGGAGTTACTGGGATTTTCTGTCTGCTTGTCATTTATATCATCTCAGTGTGTGCAACTCATTCTCTTAGGCACAAGAACAGTATGAATAACTGGATGAAGTAGATGGGGCAAGCCTACGGCTTTAGCTACTCAAGCTACCTAAATACTACTGTAGTGTTTAATTTATTCATTTAAAAATAGATTTATAGAGATATAATTGACATACAATAAACTTCACATACTAAAGTATACAATTTGATAAATTCTGACATTTGTATATGCCTGTGAAACCATCATTACAATAAAAATAATTAGCATATCCATCATTCCCAAAAGTTTTCTTGTATCCCTTTGTAATGCCTTCCTCTTGCCCTAACCCCCTGAATCTACTCTCTGTTACTATTTGGTTTGCATTTTCTAGGAGTTTATACAAATGGAATCATACAGTATATATTCTCTTTTTTTTGTCTGGCTTATTTAACTCAACATAATTATTTTGAGGTTCACCCATGTCATTGTATGTATTAATAGTTCATCCAGTTTTACTGCTGGGTAGTATTTCTGATTGTATGGATACATCATGATTGTTTATCCATTTACCTGTTGATGGATGTTTGTATTCTTGCAGTTTTTGAATATTACCAATAAAGCTGCTATAAAGGTTCATGTACAAGTGATTGTATGGACATATGTTTTCATTTCTCATGGGTAAATACCTAGGAGTATAATGACTGGGTCATGGTAGGTGTATGTTTTAACTTTTAAAGATACTACCAAACTGTTTTCCAAAGTGGTTATATAACTTTTACATTCCCACCAGCAGCATATTATACTTTCAGTTACTGTACACCCTTGCTAACACTTGGTGTAGTCAGTCTTTTAAAATTTTGGACATTTGATAAGTGTGCAGTGGTATCTCATTGTAGTTTTGAATTAGATCATGCTAATGACAAATGTTGCTGAGCATCTTCTCATGTGTTTATTTGCCCTCTATCTATCTTCTAGGTAAAATGTCTGTTTAAATCTTTTGCCCATATTTTATTGGATTGTTTGTTTTCTTATTGATTTTTAAGAGTTTTTCATATACTTTGAGTGTGAGTCCTTGATCTTTTGTTATTTTTTTGTTTTGTTTTTTGTTTTTTTTGATCATATGTTATTTGCAAATATTTTCTTCCGGGCTACGGTTTGTCTTTTGATTGTCTTAACAGTGTTGAGAAGGAGAAGTTCTTAATTTTGATGAAGTCTGATTTATATATTTTTTTCCTTTTATTAATTGTGTTTTTAGTGTTCTCTTTAAGGAATATTTGCATAATCTCAGGTAAAGATTTTCTCCTATGTTTTCTAGAGAGTTTGTAGTTTAGGTTTTACATCTAGGTTTATGATCCATTTTGAGTTCATTTTAGTATATGGTTATAGGTATGTTTGAAATTCTTTTATTTGCATATCGATATCCAGTTGTTCTAGCATTATCATTGGAAAAAGACTATCCTTTCTTCACTGAATTACCTTGCATTTTGTTGAAAGCTAATTGATCATTTATATGAACAGCCTATTTTTGGATACTCTGTTCTGTTCATTGATCCATTTGTCTTTATAACAACATCACACTGTTCTGATTACTGTACCTTTATGTTAATAATGTGTCTTGAAATTAGGTAGTGCAAATTCCCTTGAACTTTGCTTGTCTTTTTGAAGTTGTTTTGGCTCTTCTAGGTCCATTGAATTTCCTTATTAATTTTAAAATCAGGTTTTTACTTTCTACAAAAAAGACTGTAGGATTTTGATTGAAATTGCATTGAATCAATTTGCAGATAATTGACGTTTTAACAACATTGAGTCTTTCCATACATGAACATGATATCTTTCTCCATTTACTTGTCTTCTTTCATTTCTCTCAACAATTTTTTGTCTGAAGTGCGTAGATCTTGAACATCTTTTGTCAGATTTATCTCTAAGTTGTTCCTATTTTTAATGCTATTGTAAATAGAATTGATTTCTTAATTTCAGTTTTAAATTGCATGGAAATACAATTAATTGTTCATATATTGAGCTTATATCCTATAATCCAGTTAAATTTACTTATTACTTCTAGCAGCTTTTTTGTAGATTTCAAAGAATTTTATGTTTGTTACCTGTGAATAAGGAGTTTTACTTCTTCTTTTCCATTGTGGATATTATTTATTTTTTAATTTGTCTTTGTTACACTGGCTTAAACCTCCAGTTTGATGTTGAGTATAATTAGTGGGAGCAGGCATTCTTGCTTTGTTTCTGTTCTTAAGGAAAAAAATAATTTCCCTATAAATTATAAAGTTAAGTAAAGGTATTT